ATCCTTTACCAAACATATACATCTTCTCGGATCGTTTCTAAACTCCACGGTTTTCCGCGGAGCACGCACCATTAATCGTCTTTTTTACAAAAATTCTATAATTCTAGAAAAATTTCCGTAGATTCGGAAATTGCCAGTTGGATTGCCAAAGGAACATTATAATAACTTATGCCTTCGCGTGGAAATTTTCCTATGAACTATGAATGGTTTAAATCTAACGTGCGTGGAGACCATGCAATTGATCCACCTCTGCCTATCCACTTATCAGGAAACATTTAATAATTCAGAAAGTAATCATTCCCGGACCTATGTTGATACACCTTTTTTTCTTCTCTAAGCATTAAGAATCTATTCCTAAAGTTTTGTTCACCATTTACGAAACACCTTATAATATATGGAAACGTTTCACTACAAATCCTATGTGTTATCCTCATTTGTTCAATCGCTATCAACAAAGAAAGTATACGGGTGTTCTAAAATTCGCAATACGCGTATTCATCATTGCGAGCGAGGCAGGCAGGCAGGGACGACCTTAGCGTATATAAAAGCGTTTCGCGGAATCGCGATGAAGATGGCCGAAAAAGACGCGCGATTAAGGTCAATTCCGGTCGCGCGGTTTTAATAAACGAGACCTTGTGCCAGCACAGGTTTTAATGCACCCCAGAAACGCGGGCGCTTAATCGGAATGACCTGTATTTCAACGTCGTTTCTTTTCTCTCGTTTCATTTTCTCTCACTCTCTCGTCCTCTCCCTCTCTCTCTACTCTCTCTCTGATTTACTTGCCCTGTTCCGCTTGTGCATCTGCTCTAACGCAGCAGCTACATTTTTTTTTATTAAAGTCCCTTTCGGATCTAGCCGCGCAAATAGCGCCGATAAGAGGCAGCCGAGCCACTCGCGAAGTCGAGTACGCGGAGCAAGCCTTTGTCGTCTTCAAACAGCCGCGTTCTGGTTCGAGCAGAAGCGGCTACGAGAAATGGGCGATCGATCGAAAAACGTTCTCTCGCAAATTAATTGTGTCTTTGTAAGGACTTTCCCCTTTCTGATCTCTCGGAAAAATCGTGACACGATTCTTTCGCTGATGCTGCAGCCATCACCGCGTTGCGTTCGAACCAACGGAATTTCGATAACGCGATTTTTCCCATTTATTAACAACTTTCCCGCGGCCTATATCGATGTTCGATATCAAACTTCTCGCATGAGTCGGAGTGCTTGCCCGACTTTTAATTAAAATGCTTCAGCAAATAGTGCATACAGTGGCTAACGAAAGTATTTGGACAGATTTTCAAGCGGGATAACTTTTTTAGTATCAGATCAAACGACTAGAATTTTCTGGGGCGCTAGTCCCAGTTAGTAATTCTTACTTTTGCATACTTTTTACTGTATATGTTAAATAATATAGGTGGAAATTGACATTATTCTTACCTTGAAATTGTTCGTACCTTCTTTCCGTGGTGCCCTTCAGCAATGCCGAAGTCCTCCCACTCAGTAGAAAGATTCTGTCGTTCACCTTCCAGGCATACAGGCGCGTGAAAACTTGTCAGTTCTATTTCATTCTGAATTCAACACCGACCGCGCGACAATAATAAAAACTTGCACGCGTTACTCAAGTTTGAAACAGGTATCGGCATTCCGGAACGCACTAACGTCGTACGTCGTACGTCGTACATCGCATCGCCATCTCTGTCTCTCGACCCGAGTGAAATTACACTCGACACATTCTCTGTCATCGATACGGGACCAACTTACAAGGAACGTAAACGTTTCGCCACTTCTCAGTCGAATACAATCACTAGAATAATAATTATTCGCACCGAGGAGACACTATAATTTACTTCTTATTTCGACAACAAATTTTATTTATTCTAGAGGGCGTGAGAAGTTGTCAATTTTCTCCTGCGCGACACGGAGGCCCACACGCCACCAACCAAACGAATGGCGCTTCCTGTCTTTTAGATTCTCGAATCGGTGTTGTAAGCATCTTTACAGAGAAATAATGGGTTTTCAAAATATTTGGTATTCGCATCCGCGAAAATATGGACAAGGATCCAGATCCTGGTAAGTGTAATCGTATTTTTCAATCATAATGCAACTTATCTAAACGAAGTTCTCATCGAATTATGTGGAACGTGTTCGACCGCGTGTCAACGTTTACGTTTCGTGCGTTTTGAATAAATTCTTCAAATTTGTTAGCATGAGTTATTTAAAATGATTTAAAAACATTCTCGTATTATTAAATCAATGAAATGTAAACTTGTATGTCACGTGTCAGTTGAATAGAAAGTACTTTGTGATCATAACCTCTGCTCAGAGAAGATCCTGTAAATAACATATTCATTATTTAAGACAATTCCTATTAATCTTTTGTATTTAATTATGTTACAGTCGTGCTTGCGCGAATAGGCATGGACTGATCCGCAAATATGGTTTAAATATTTGCAGACAATGTTTCAGAGAATATGCTGCTGATATCGGTTTCAAAAAGGTATAGTACTTTAATTCCTTACAGTTAATGTCGAAACTGTAATACAGTATATAAATATACAATGTTCCTTTTAAATTTCATTAATGACTTAACATTGTATTTACAGCTGGACTAATATGGACACAACTTTTAACCTGAATATAATTTCCAACAATACTATTTCCATGTGAACCATAGGAATGCATCAGTACAAAATTTCATCTAAAAAACACTTTGTTGACTTTTATTAATATTTGGATTATCCATTGGAAAATGATTGTATTTGTCCTAATCATGAAACCTAAATAAATATAATTATGTAACTAAGAATTTAACAGAAATCCGTTTCCTTATACTCAGGTTATTGGATAAATTCAATTTTT